GAATACAGATGACGCGGCGACTGAAGGGATCGTTAACGTTGAGAACCATGTTGAAGCCTTCACATTCTGGTAATGGGCCCACAAAGTCCATGGAAATGACCTCAAATGGTCGAGTAGGCGTCTCGTTGGGCTGGAGTGGTGCGTGAGGGCTTTCTCGTCGGTACTTGACGCGCTGGCAGAGCTGGCATCCTGCCACATAACGTCCTACATTCTTCCTGATGCTTGGCCACCAATACGTCCGTGTGATGAGCTCTTCCGTCTTGTAGCGTCCCGGATGTCCTGCGGCGAGCGAGTCGTGGTGCACCTTGATGATATCCGCGCGTAAGGCTTCGTCAGGCGGCACATAGATGCGGTCGTTGTGCGTGAGTAGTCCGTCTGCGTGCTCCTTCCAACGCGGATTCTTGATGAGCAGGGCGAGTTCGACGGATTCCTCGCATTCAGCGGTGCAATCCTTGATGCGACGGATTGTGGGCTCGTCTTCGCCGGCAAGGTCGAGTGCTGTAGCGCGAAGCAGGATGCGGAAAAACTCGGGTTTGAGCAGGACAATGTCCTGGTTGTCATTCTCCCCCCTTTCATGTCCTGCTTTGCGTGAAAGCGCGTCAGGACGACCCATGAGACCGCCGGGCTTGTGGTGGAGCGTAAAGTCGTACTCCTGCATCTCGGTGAACCAGCGAGCTTGGCGGCGATTGAGGCGGCGAGCTTCACGGAAGTACGTGAGATTCTGGTGATCTGACCAGATTTCGAACATGTGGCGGGCGCCCAAGAGGTACTGGCGCCATTCCTCTAGCTCGAGCATGATGGCGAGGAGCTCCTTGTCGTAAATCCACATAGTTTAGCATGATGCCTCCGAGGACCTCGGGGAACAAGCTGTCAAATAAGGTCGAGAGACTCGGGGAAATGGCCATAACTAGTGTGCTGCCCTACCTGGGTACTGCGGCCCTCGGGGCTCTAGGGATGTCAATCTGGGTACTAGTAGCCAGGGCAGCCGGATGTAGTACTGTGAGCTCGGGGATGGGATTTTATATAGTACTATTACACAGGGCAGCCGGGGATGGTACTGGGAGCTCGGGGATGGGATCATCAGTCGTACTGGTACACAGGGCCGCCGGGGATGGTACTATGAGCTCGGGGATGGTATTTTATATAGTATTGGTACACAGGGCCGCCGGGGATGGTACTATGGGCTCGGGGATGGGATCATTAGTTGTACGGGTACCCAGGGCCGCCGGGGATAGTACTGTGAGCTCGGGGTTGGTATTTTATATGGTACTGGTACACAGGGCTGCTAGGCATAGTGCTATGCACTTAGGCTACTGTGCAACGATGGGAATCATTAAATTGTAGTGAAAGACAATGGAGCTACAGAATGCCTAGCAATGTGCAGTATTCACCTATGGAATGTATAGCACTTCGGAGTATATAATCCGTGCGTAATATAGTGCTTAATGTGTTACGATAACTGCTGCAGCTCAGGAATGCATGCTGTGTAGCTACAGTATATGTCATAAGCCAGACAGGCAGTATTGAACTAGATACGTGTAGCTACTGCAGTTACGGAAACCTTGGCATGCCATGCAACCAGCACTACAGAAATCAGAATGTTTACACTCGATATGGTGTGCAGCGCACATGAGAATGACGGCCTTTGATTTATCAATGTTCCATACACATACCCAGTTCTCACTGAATTTTCTGCAGCTAACACATAACTTCAGCCAACACATGCCCAGCTAGACTTACCCCAGAGTGGTATAGAAAAGCCTCCATATGTGAACTGATTTGAGTCTGTGTGCTAGTTTTGTCAGGTCAGATTCGAATCAATACAATGTACATGATAGAAGATCCCAGGTCCGGCGGAGATGCTATCCCCGGGGGATGTATGCAGCTCCGTCGGAGATGGTAGGGATCTGGATCTCCAGGGAGGTGGAGGCGGATCTCCGGCGGGTTTCGAATGTATAGACATCCGAGCATGTGTGCGATTCATCTCAAAAAACTTCACCATGTGGACCTTCGCTCTTACCATGACCATGTCGAACTATCTCAAATTGCTGGACCTTGCTGTGTCTTATACACTCAGACATGCACAAGGCCTAGATACAGTCCAGAATGCGTTTGTAGCATCGATATCTGGAGAGCTAGACCACATTATATACACAGTAAAGCGGGCTCAAGCCAACAGATGTATGTGGAAACCCGTACATCAAGTGACTTAACCCAACTAACATTGGACTAGTCAAACTTCTCTGGGACTCTCGAACTTATCAGGCTGCTATACGAGCTCAAGATGGCACTAGTCCTGATGCTGAGGCGATTCTCCGGCTGCAATTTCCACCAGAAAACCTCAATCTCAGTGATCCTGCTATCATAGACGATGCGGCATCACAGGTGGTGGCATGTTACCTTCCTGATGTTCTTCTACCGGCCAGAATTGTGGGCAGATTCACTCAGACCACTGTGCTAAAGCTGAGTATAATCTTCAGAGCAAGATCAAATCCAATATGCAGACACTACGTCCCACACTGGAGGAACAATGGGCCCGTGCACCATCCGGGAGTAAAGAAGCTGCATGGCGGAATGCGGAACATCACTTTCTGTCTGAGACTGAATGTCCGCTATTTGGTCGGGGGAATGTGACGGCCTCACCAGCATGGCAAGCGCAAGGTCACATTGTACACTTCAATTCCGCTTAGTGTGTGGCTTCAAATGCTTAACAGCGTGATAGGGGTTTGAAGACTCGATATCCGTGTGCAGTCACCTTGGGCCTGCACCTGGGGCGAAGAAGATCACGACAGGCCAAGTAGCATTCCAGCAATTTATCCACGACAATCTTGAGACCGGGTGCCTCATGTCCGCTGCTCTTGCACTTGTTCATCCAGAGCAGTATGCACTCACCCGTGCTTGTCTTGGCAAGCTTCAACACTTGCAGCACATCTGTGAGCGGGTCGATGAGTGGGCATTTGGATTTAATGTGGTCACGGTTGTGGCCAACAGGGAGTCCCTTACCCATCGTGATCGCTTCAGTGGGGGTCCTGAGTATCTGGATATGTTGCTCAGTATTGGTGGCGATGAAGATACGGGTCTGGAGATGCCTGGCATCGAAGCTCGTTTCCTCTACACATCCGGAACCATGGTACTCTTCTGCGGTCACACCCATTTGCACGGTGTAAGTGCTTGTCTTAATGAGCGGGTATGCTTTGCTGCATATGCGAGACCATCCATCCATCGCCTGTACCATATCCATTGCCCTCAACCTCCCACAATCCGTACTACATACGATTATGGATATTGGCTGGAGTATGTAGAGTCTCTCATAGACTGGGCTGAAATGTAGCTACGTCCATACGAACAATGATGTTCCTGTTGGTTTAACCTGAGTGACGCCTCCGCAGGAGCCGTATCTCCGCCGGGTCTGGAGAACATCTCCGACGGGCCTGATCCCCGGACATGACATGCCCAAAGAGGTACTACAGCCGAGTACAAATCTTAAACATGAACAAAATACGGTGTGTCGAATATCCAATGTGACGAGTACCCGTATATTAATAATCTAGATTTGGTCCTCTGCATTTATGGACACTGCGTCAGCGACAGGCTTCTTTCTGACCATCCGTGGCTTTGGCTTGGTAGTAGTAGACGCAGTAGCGAAGACGCGTCGGGTGCGCGGGATTAAGACTTCCACTTTCTGGCGCTTTGAAGGAGGCTGACGTCGAGGGGGTGAGATAACGACCGTTTGTGGAGAAGTGGCCTGATTCTGGGTACTGTTCCGACGGCGCTTCCGAGTCCGTGTCGAAACGGGAGATCGAGCAACATACTGTGCGATCCTCGGACGAGACGGTGTCGTTGAACTAGTAGCCTGCGGCATAGAGGTCGTAGAATGTGGTGGGGTTGATGGGTGGGCATGTGAATCAATGGGAAATGCCATCCTTGGCGATGGCGGTTCTGAGTCTGCATTGTCCGCACCACCCACGTCGTTGTTTGAGACGTAGTCGGTCTCAGCTGCAGACTCAGAGTCCGACTCCTCAGCTCGCTTACGCGCTGTTTTCCTGGGCTTCTTCTTGGGCTGTAAGACAGGACCAGCACGTTTGGTAGCCTTCGGTTTCGATGGCCGCACGCGCTTGTTGACGGGCCGCGGTGCGATGCGCTTCGGCTTTGGGACAGGAACATTTGCCAGGTCTTGAACCTCCACAGGGCGGGCCCGTTTAGTCTTACGAGTAGCTGGTTGGGCGGGTGGCAGGGCCTCGGGAGGTGGAGATGAACGTGGTGGGGCAGCGGGGATGATGGGCAGGGCAGACAGAAGTGGTTGCTTGGGGACGGGAGGCTTGTATGCAGTACCGTACTGCTCAAGATTATGTTCCTTCCTGGCCTCCAGCACCGCTGCGTTATGACGGGCTTGATCTTCAAGCCGGTTATGCCTCTCGATAGCAAGTAGCCTTTGAGCATCCCGCTCCGATCCTGGTGGTTGATCCCCTTGTGCGACAAGCGACTGCAGATACGCCAGATTATTGGGCTGAGCCACGATAGCCTCGGTGTAGGCAGGATCTAGGAGGGGAAGCTCTTGACCACGTTGTGGAGTTGGCTGTGGGGAGCTAGACCCGGCGGACCGTGACGGACCTCCGAGCGCACCTCCGCCGGATCCCGAAGGTCCGGCAACAGGCTGGGAGGCCGACGGGCCTGCGCCAAATCCCTGTCCACCTCGGATGAAGTCGAGTTCCTCAGCCGACAGCTGCAATGGGGATGGGGGAGAGGATTCAAAACCATCGGACTGAGAAGGGGGCAGTGTTGTGTTAAGTCTGTCGACACAAAGCTCAGCCCACTGAATGAGGATGCCAGAGAGCTGATCGACCGCTGGTGCGAGATGAGACCGCGAAAGCTGTCCCATCGAATCGACGTTCTCAAACTGAATGCATTGTATGTCATGGTAGACACACACCGCTTTCAGTAGGGCAAGAAGTCCTGCCTCACGGGGAACCGACATGCCAGTCGAGGGTGTGATGAACATGTCACAGGTGGTGAACCATGTCGTCAGGTTCTGGACAATGGCGGGATCCGAGTGTAGGCTGGGCGGAAGCCCGCAGCGCGGAGACTGCCACGATGGAAAGCTAGCACCTGATGCTATATCGTTTGCAGTCGTAAGCTCGCTATCTGGCTATGGGAGAGCTCAGTATTGTTTGTACTATTGAGACTGCTCGAGACGCACCATTCTCTGTATGCACATTAAAAGACTGACAAGCACATCCTCGTACTTGATAACATTGTACAGATACGCCTCGCGGCTGCTTGCGACAGCATACTTTGCGGAGGGACCAACGTCGGGATAGTCATATGTCGAATGCAAAGAAGCGAGGAAGTCCTTAAAGTGTCGCAAGGTGCGCGAAAGATCACTGACGTCCAGTGCTTCGCTTGGTGCGAGTGTTGGATAGACTCGGAAGTACAGGATGAATGCAAGGAGCAGGAGCCAGCTCACGTCAATGCCAGCAAAGACTTCACCAGATGTTTTGAGAATCCGCCAAGGAGATGAGAGTATGAACTGCTGGACAGCAGGAATGCAGTCGTAGTTCAGGAAATGGTCGAGCGAAGTAGCTTCCCATCGAACCGTGTTTGGCAGTGGAATTGGAGAGCTCGCCTTTCGAAAGTTGGACGCAGAGTAGAAGTGGTTGGGTACAAGCTACTGAATGTTCACTACATGGACACATGACTCTTGAAAGTGAGACTGACCGGTAGCTCACACAACTTCACAAGACAGTGTTTGACAAGCTGAGTGGGGAGGCTGACGTCCCACGTACCCTCCGACAGAACCTTGTGCATCCATTGGCCTCGTGCCTCGGAGTTGGCGGGGATTGAGCAAGGTGCATGCACCAGCTGGAGGCTGCCAGTAGCAGGGAGATTGTCGTCGGGATCAGGTGCTGGACGGAACTCTGGTGGGAACGCAAACGATGTCTCTTCCCACAGAGTAGGTGTATGGAACTGTACCGCTCGTCCACTGCCATATGGGCTTGTGCTGGGTTTGGCTTTACCAGTCCTGTGAGCAGTGAGCAACGAGTTCTGCTCCTGACTCCGACGGGGATAGCCTACCTGACTCGAACATCCGTCGGGTTCTCATGGCGGACCTGGAGATCCGACTGAACAACTTCGGGAGCCGGGGCTGCCGTGGATGTTGCCTGGGTTGACGCAAAATGTGTGGGCCGTGCAGCCAGTGCCTGTGCCTTGGCAGCCTCGAACTCGTCATATCCAGCCTCACCCGGAGTGGCTGCCCACCACCGCCTGTCAAACTCTACAGGTGGTTGTGGCTCGCTATTGGGAAGAACCCAATGGTGAAACTCCAACTCGCCTACAGTAAACAGATGCTCTATCAACTGCAACTGCTTTGCACGCGGCATTGTGGTCGGATCGCCATGTATCCAGCCATCCGGGAAGAACCGTGGATCAATGCATTCGTTGCGTCCAATAGCAGCCCATGGTGGCCTCAGCTGTGTGGGTGGGCGTGGTGATATGTTGGCTGAATGATTCGTCAACCAGATGAACACTACCGAGCGGTGGCTTTGCTCACCATGCGCTGTACGAAACAAGTTGTACAGAATGTTAGGGGCCTCCGTCTCCAGCTTTGATAGATCAAATTCGCTCTTGTTGATCTTGAGACTATTTCGGTTGCGAAAATGGTCGCTACGAAGCTGGAAGGCGGTAACCTTATCAAACCGATGAGCGGGCGGCGGCTTCTTCGCCTTTCTTGCCTGAACGTCACCCGCACCTAGAAGAAACAGTATCAATATTGCACCCCTTGAGATGTAGGATATAAGCTCAGTGATTGATGATAAGGCCCAATCCCCGTCGGAGAGTATGGTTTATCCATGTCCCCGGCGGAGATGGTTCGGATATTGCAGGTCCGACGGGGATGGGTATTTTATATGATGACTTTGATAAAGGGTGAGTCGACGTACCCGCATTGGTGTGCACAAACTTCTGCAATCGTGATAAGGTGTTGTCCATGATGGTATCGTTCTCGAAATGTACGCTGCCCAGCCCGAGCTCTGGACTGAAGTCGATTCTGCACTGTGTTAAGTATGTATGGCAAGAGCGGACATACTATCTTACATATTGGTTCGTATGTCAGTTCCAGGCTCGCCGACAATCAGGAAGTAGACATAAATCCCGTAGCGCTTGAGGCAAGTGACTGCAACGTCAAGTAGGGCCTTCTTGCAGTGTCGATCAAACTCCCTATGAAAGCGATTGGTATGCAATTTGCAAGGTGGCAGGGCTATGAGTTACTTCTTCTTTATGGTAATGGGTATACCGGTCCTATTCCACTGCTTGCAGATCTTGTCGATCTCCTGCCGCTCCGCCACACCCAGACTATAGTAATAAGACGACCGCGCCTTTTTGTACTCCGCCAACCATCCCTGCTTGTCACCAGGCTTCAGTTTTGTGACGTCCTTGACTAGATTGCTGATCGCATCCTTGTATATCTCGCCACATGCTGATAGCGCGGTCCAATCGCGAAATTTGCCGGGGAGGCGAACGACCACATCGCGAATACGCCCACGCTCCTTGAAGAAGTTCTTTACAGCCTGGTATGACAATATCAGACATGGCCATGTTGCTCTAGAAAATGGCACACTCACGAGGCGTACATAGTGAAAGCGTGCATTCTTGGATCGTGATGGCCAAGAATGGGGATCGGCCCAATCCATGGTTTCCCCATCCCACACAGATTGAAAGGCCTGAAGACAGTCAATGTCGGGTTGATTGAGAGGCCGCTGCAATATTGCTCACCTCTCTCACGTACGCAGTCCTCTCACTGCCCTGCAGTCCAATATATCCGTCAACCAACGGCTGCAGCGCCCTGACTTGCTCAGCCGTAAGCTGGCGGCTCGTCATATGTAATTCGACCTTCTCTCCATACTCCGGAGCCGATTGAGTGTTGCCAGGTTCCTCATCATCAACCCAGTCATTCTCATCCGAGACCTCAGAAGGGGTTGCCATTACGATGGAAGCAAATGCTGGTGGTTTACAGAGAAGGACGACGTTGCATCTCAACGAGAAGCCCCACACCCACACCTCGTGGCACTCCCGTGACATTACCATACCCGCCAAGGTCCGAGGAGGTGCCCCGATCCCCGCCGGACCTACGAATCCCCGTCGGGGATTCTCCTTGTGGGCCTGTGAAATTCTGTCATCATCCTCGCAGAAGCATGCAGCCACATTCGCCCCGGGATTGCCTTGGCGCACGCAGTCACTCTCAATGTCAGAAGGCAATCTTCCTCCGTATCAGTACTCTACAACCAACAACACCCGAGCTGCACTACAGAGCTCAAGCAGGAAGGAAAGCCGAAGAAGTCAGAAGCAAAAGAGAGGGATTGATCCAGTAGGCGGGGATGAGCCACCCTTGAAGAAAACAAAGGGCAGGCGGAAGGACTTCGAATCCCCTCTTGCAGCAGACGACCCCTTGCGCAACCGTGACAAGCCCTTGGACAAACCCACACGCTCCCATACGTCGTCTCTCCGAAGCACACCAGCCATATCGAGGGCGCAGTCACAGGAGTCAGACTCCCAGTCGGGCCGCAGTGGTATTCGCACGCCAGCAGAGCTTGAACCCGGCTCCTCTGGCCTCGGACGTTCGAATGTGGTTCCACCTACACGCTTTGCCACTGCAATCAATGAACACACCGATTTCATGTCCGGGTTGGACAGTCATCAGCTTGTAGATGCATATGGTGTCCCACTTCCGGCGATGCAGGCCTTGCTTGATGATGAGCTTGAAGAAGACGAGGCAGCACGCAATGTGAGTACAAAGCAGCTGCTCATAATGTTATCTTGGCTCACACATTACTAGTCGAATGTCGAGAAACTTGCGGAGTTTGCTAAGGGACTGGCACCGGTGATCTATGCAAACTGCGTCCTTCGGCGCAAAGGGCCTCCCTCAACCCTCACCTGTTCCGAATGCCGTACCCCAGACAGTGCTAGATGGCGATGCGATAGCTGTCAGACACGTCGCGACCTGTGTGCAGCCTGTCTTCGAAAGACACACATGGCCACGCCCTTTCATCGTGTTCGTTACAACACCGGTACACAGTTTCGCGAGGCTACACTGCGAGACGTTGGAGTGTACATCCAACTTTGTCCAGAGGCTACGGGTACAGACCATTGCCCTGCATATAGCTCTTCGGAGCACGTGCTTCCCAGTGACATTGACACACGCACTCCCCCGACTTACGGCACTGTACTTGATGTTCCACCAGCACATCGGGAGGCAGGACATGGGCAGCAGGAACCAGGATATGGGCGAGGTCCGTCGGGGCTACGCCCAGCTGACCAGGGAGCTCCAGATCCGCCGGGGAATCGCCCGGATCCGATGGAGCCTGGAGCCAGTCAGGACGAAGAGCTGTGGCCAGACGATCAGGCAGGTGGTGAGATGGATGAAGGCGATGCTGAAGCAGAGCTGAAGGATGCCGAGGACATTGAGGAGGGCGCTTCGTTCGGAGAGAGTGGACAAACTCGGGTGCGGGGACGCGAGGCCATCATCAAGAAGGACTGCTGGGGCCACCAGGTCCTTGTAATCGTGGACAAGACAGACATACATCAGCTAGGTGTCTCGTACTGCAAGTGTCGCGCAGGCCGTGATCTTCCCCCGTATCAGCAGCTGCTTCAGCTGGGCGGCCTCTTCCCTGCAACCGAATCACGACCGCGGACATGCTTCACTCTTGAAGGTCTCGCCTACCATCAAGTCGACAGACTGGAGTGCAGGGTTGCACCACAGGCCATGGTGCGAAAGCTGCGACGGCATACCTCGCCACTGCACCCTTCAACAGTACCAGTAAGTCAGCAGAAGTCCGCACCATATACAGGAACATTGAACTGCATTCAGAACCGCTATCTCGAGGCGCTACGCGTCATCCGAGAGTACACAGTCGTCGATAATCTTATCGTGCATGGATTTGCACATCAGCCTGTCGATGACTGGAAGCCGCCGCCTCCTGGTGGTCTGTTCTATCGCTGTGTCGTGTGCCCATCCAAGAGGAACTTGCCTCGTGGTCATAAGAACGATCCCAATTCATGGGCCTTCTATCATACGTTCGCACACGATGGCAACTTCAGCGGCCAGCACACGGTCTCGCTTCAGCCTGGGAACAATATCCCCCTCTTTCCTGGCACTGGCGCATTTCAGCATCCAGACGAAGCGAAAGCAGACCTGGCAGCAATGAAGACTGATAAGCAAGTGCGCAAGGAGGCTGAACATCTGGTGTGTTAATAGTCTCCTCACTGTGCATGCCCTAACTGTTTCCCAGTTTGCGAAGGACAAACCTTGTAACAAGCATCTCGCAGCCCAGGTCAGTGGCAAGACACGCGACAAGGTGACCGACATCAAGGGCATTGGTGCATGGGCTTGTGCGCGGCACGGCGAGTTTGCTGCAGGAGGGACATGCAATTATGAACTTGGTGAAGCGTAAGTGCTTCGGTAAGACTTGGTCTCACAACAACTCACCATTTCACAGGTCTGGGCCTGCCGATGTCGCACTGAACAATACATTCAAGCTCAATACAGACCCGGAGGTCGTCGATCGGTTGCAACTTTTCTATGATATTTGGTGCCGTTATGGCGTCCATCTACGCGAGAGGTTCAACCGAACTCCAAATGTCAGCTGGCCTGAGTTTGCGGAGGTTCTAGGGAGCGTTGGAGTGTGGCACATTTATGGCCATGTCTTTGAGTGCTATGGGAGGTGGTCCAGTCTCTATGCCCGCCATTGTGGCATTGTTGATGGGGAGATCCTCGAAACTCTCTGGTCGGTTCTTAATCAGATCCTTGAGACTTGCCGTGGGATGTCTCTTGCGCATCGAGAAGAGGTGATCAGCATGTTCGAGTCGGACAGCAATCATAGGAAGAACCTCAATATGGGTATGGCCACCTCTATTTCCGAGATTGTACAACTAACGATGGGTCAAAATAGTCGATACCATTGCCAAGAAGTTCGAGAAGTACATTGCCGAGGCAGCGCGTCGCGAAGCCATTGTAGCTCAATTGTCAGCTTGTACATCGCCCGAGAATGTCACCACCTGGGAAGCAGAACGACTAGCATTCGAGCGCGACCGTATCAATGATTCCTCCATTGCGGACACATTCTTTCAGCACGAGCTGGTCCAAGGTGCGCAGATCGTGAAGCATTAGCCTGCAGAAACTGACGATTAGTGCAATATTTGCAGTAACATCACGGAAGGAGACAGAAGTACAGCTCTTAGAACAAGAAGCAAGCCAACTGGATGGAAAGGGCCTGGTAAAGGCAATCATCGATGCCATGAATCTGCAAGTCGACCAGTACGCTTGCCCTACAGTTGATTAGTCGTGGCAGAACTGACAATGACCAGGTTAAAGTTGCAAGCTTTAGACAAGCAGGCTACTTCGACAGGAGATCGCCGAGCTGTTGCCACCTCACGTACTCGCATAAATCAACGCGTTAACAAGTGCAACGAAGCAATGGCAGCGGCTTTGGGCTCTCGCCCTGGCCGGAATGAGCTTCAGAAGGTCCGCTTACAGCCACTTATGAAGGAGGATGAATGGGGTCCGCCGGAGGGGGAGAGGGAGACCCGACGGAGATACAATCTCCGAGAGGGGGCGGAGTTCCGTGCTGTGGACATGCCATCATCCAGGTCAGATGGATGGCGAAAGGGACTGCAACTGGAGCAAGGAAGCCCCGAAATGCTCACTCGGCGTCGCGCGATGGATATCCAGGCCCAACTGTGCGTAGCCTTGATGAACGAGTCACTTGGAGAGATTCGCACGCGCATAGTGGACCAAGCAAACACGTACCTCCAGCGCATACGTTCGACACGAGGCCACGCAAATGTCAACTATCACGAGAGAAATGTCGCACACGAGGAGGCTAGGAGACAAGGCAAGGCAGTGCGCATACATGCGCAGATCTACAATGCATGTCGCGAGAAGTTGGCTAAGCTCGGATGGGAGGGAGACGCAGTGTCTCAAGAGAAGATAATGTCGTGGCTTCTGCGATATCGTGTGCTCAGATCGGAGGACTTGATCTGCTCCACAGCAACATACAGCACACGAGGCACAGTCCCCGACTTCAGCCTGCCCTGGTTTTGGCGCATGGTGGCAGCCAATCCGGACGAGCCAGTAGAAGTGACACGCAAAAAAGACGAGGAGTTCATTGCAGCCTGTACGCAGTTGTTGTGGAGTGCGTACCCTAAGCTAACGGTGTCGACAGTCTTTCGTATTCGATGGATCAATGCTCGATGCTCACTTGTGCGATGCCAGGAGGAGCTGATCATTTTGCATTTCGAGATGCAGATGTGTTACCTGGGTTACAAAAGCCTCGCAGACGACTGGATTCAAAGGAAGCAGGTGATGAGCGGACAGGTGGCGCACGAGTACATGGCTGCCGAGATGGCATCGAACTGGACAGACATGGCAAATTATGGGAGGGAGAGATTCAACATGTGTCACAAAGATGTAATTACAAGTTCGTTGTCGACGTAACCGCTCCATGTGTTCTTGACATGTAGATTCTTGGGCGCACATAGTGTGAATCCTTGGGGAAATTGCAGCTGTCATCATTGACATCCAGAGGTCCGGCGGAGATCCGTCAATATCCGGCGGAGATGCGAGGTCCGGCGGACTTGCGATGATATGAGATGGAAAAGAACATGCATATTGTTCGTCATTGCGAGCGAGGTAAAGATACAACGAATTCAACGGAAGAGATACACCTATCGTACATTGTTCACAAGAGTATAGAGCGCCACACATATTTTAGATCCCAAAGTCCGCAACTGAATAAAGGTCTTACCACCTACGAGGAGGCTTCTTACCAGCAGCCGGCGCACGAGGCTCGGGGTTTGAAGACTGTTTGGCGGGTGATGCCGATGACGAAGCCCCAGACTTGCGCCCGCTGGGCTGGCGCTTCGGCTCCACATACGCGCGTGTCGGCTTGGCTCCCCGGGTCGAGCGACGAACTTTCGGCTCAGACTCCGGTTCCTCGGCATCCTCAGCTGAAGATGCATCGGCTTGGCCAGCACCCGAGGCGCCCGTGTTCCCGCGCGCATCCGACTCCTCTGAGTCAGTCTCATCCGCACGTACCAATCCAGTTACCTCCTCAGGCTCCTCCACCTCCTTATCCGCGGCCGCCGTCGACTCAGCAGGCACACCCCAAGTATCAGCATCCTCCAGTTCATCTTGATCCTCCTGACCGGGCAACAGATCGTCTGGCAGAGGCAGCTCTTCATCGTCAACAGCATTGAACACACGGTGAAAGATGCGCATCTCGTCATCCTCCATTGGGAGCCCGAGCTGCGTGTCCGCGGTGTCCTTGTAAGCCAGGATATGCGCCTGGGAGCTTGTTGGAGAGCTTTCAGATGAGGCGGAGACCTCAGGGCCGACGGAGATGGTACGCGGAGCTGCAGGTCCGGCGGAGCTGCCAGGCCCGGCGGGTTTCGGGGGTCCGACAGCTTGTCCAAAGGCCATTGCACGCTTGAGAGCTTCAGATGTCGGTGCGCGTGAAGCCTGCGGTGCCGAACGAGCTGTAGAAGACGCTGTTGGAGGTGCAGATGCGGTGACGGGGGCCGTGTGCGCGGACGCCTGCGCAGGAGGCGCGTATCCAGGCTTGAGATGAGCGGGTGTAGTGTAAACCCGGCTCTGCTGAGAGCTCGCGGACGGTGTGATCGCCTCCTTGATCTCCTCGAGGTGCTGGAGAATGTCGTTGTTGCGCAGCGTCGCGTCCTGGTACGATGCGGCCTGCTCCAACTGTTGGCGCAGAACCGCGTTCTCAATACGCAGCTGCTCGTTCTGGCCGCGCTCATACACAATGACTGCGATCTGATGGTCGATGAGAGCATTGAGCCCCTCTACGTTGCGAGGGCGCGATGCTATCGGTAGCGGGATGTATCCTGTGATTGGCGGGCTGCTGACACGCGCAACCTGGGACTGATGCTCGTGCGCCTTCTTCCTGGGAGGCGAGTCGTGCTGTTTGGCGGGGCCGGAGAAGTTTGACGACGAGCGTGCACGCTTTGAACCGATGCTAGGAACGGCCTGAAGCGGAGGCTGAGCGAGAGAAGACAAACTGACATCAGATTCGACGTCGGTCTGCGCTTGTCGTGCGGGCAAAGATGCTGCTTGGGCCAAGGGGGCCGCCTGAGATTGACTACGCGCGATGGGAGCCTGTGGCGCGCTTGGCTCGGTTTCTAATGAGCGTGTCGCATCTGGGAATGAACAATGCGCCATCAGTACTCAAGAGAAATAAGTCAGGACGCGGATACGCACAGTTCTCCGTCATCCACTTGTCGATGTCGGCCTGTGAGACGTACCCGCCCTCCAGCAGGAAACGTACCGTCTCCGCGCGAACTTCAGGCTTTCCTTGATAGTCTTCAGGCTTCTTGCCCTGCGGAAGCTCGGGTACACCGGCACCGCTGCACTGTTTGCTTGTAACCCAGCAAATCGTGCACGCGTTGAAGCCGCGGTAGATGCACGGTAGCCTCATGAGCTGGCACTTGAAGCATACACCCTGCGAGTGCGGTCAGAACAGAACGAGTACAGCGCAGAGAACGGCCTACCTCCTTCAAGATAACCTCACGGAGCCCATACATCCCCTTCAGACTCCAAACGTCCTCCGGCTTGAGCTTCCCATCCGGTCCAGCACGCGCGAGAACCTCCGCATCGTCCACGACCACGCGTATTTTGCCAGTGTTCACGCCATGGGGCGGATCGAAGAAAGCCTTCTTCCCCTTCGTCTCCTTGGTTGACTCGGGCGCAGCTTTGGGCGCGGTAGACGGTGGTGGAGGAGGGCCCATACTTCCCACACGTTGACCTGCCGAAGATGTAGACGCAGTGTGAGCCTGAACCGTAGGTAGAGCATGTTGAGCTGGTCGCGGCTCCGGCGGACCTGGGGCTGTTGGGAGACCCGGCGGAGGCGCAGATGAACCTCCCGGACCTCCGCGAGCTTGTGAGACCTCCGCCGGACCTGACGCTCATGTTTAATAAGGTATCTGAGGAACAATGTCAAGGACTCACCTTCAGCTCCGCTAGACGAGACGTGATGAAGAGACTCGCGGCTCTGCAAAGCGGAGCTTAGCGGAAGCACCCTGGCGTCCGGACTGGCTTGGCTAGACCCCGACTGTTGTACTGCATTCGCAGCAGCAGCATTTTTCGCTTTCTGCTGCAGGATCGAATTCCAGACCGTAACAATGTGAGCACGGATGATGCCCATGCGCGCCGGGTTCAAGTGCACGCGTGCTATAGATCATCAGCCAATGCACATTCATTACATAGAGTGATACGCACATAAGACCATCCACCAATGAACAGGCCCTACACGACGCACTGACATAAACTGCTCGTTCTCCAGCCCACCGGGTACGGGTACCTGCACCGCCTCCAGCATGAAATCCTCCGTATAGCCATTGTACTTGTTGTGGAGGTCGCGGAAATGGCGGACAAGTTCAATGAGGCCGGGATTGGTCCTGTTACGCTCAGCTGTACAAGCCTGTGTGCATAGTTAGTAAGATTCAGACAATACAGATAGGACACGCACTATTTCGACCTTTAACAAAGGCCAGATAATCGCAGCGACCCGTAAAGTGGGCACATGGCGTTTACGATAGACCTCAATGTTCTTGAGGGCAAGCGCGAGCCTATTGGCAGTGGCAATCGCCAAGTTGAAACTGGCATCCTTCTCCCGCCACGCTGTCCAGGACTTCAGCTCGCGCTCGAGGACGTCGGCACTGATGATGTCGCTGAGGAGCCCTGAGCCCGCATACTGGACGAAGTCGGGTGGTACAGAGTTGTTTCGAGCCGCGGAGGTGGACATATTGAGTAGGATACAAGCTAGATGCGCGCTAGATGGTGGGCAGAGGAGAGGTTGCGTCTTACTCAGCCATCAATGAAATCGTCATGTCACGCACATCTTCAGATCCGGCGGACCTCCGTCAACCTCCGCCGGATCTCCGAACATCCCCGCCGGACCTACACCTCCCTGGGAGATCACGCATGTCTTCGGCACATTCATGACATTGAGAGAAGGGCGGGTAAGTACTACAGATTCAGAAGAGACTACAAAACGTATCGTACAAGTTACACACGCGTAAAACTGCTAATATCGTACAAAGCTATGTATCTATGTGAGATTCCAGAGTCCGTTTGAGCACCACATATTGATTTGCAAAGCTAGATCAAGGGAGAGCAAGATCGTCAGCCGCATTTCCATGGACAGCATCGGACGCAATCCCTGCATTGCCAGCATCCTCTGCACGGCTCTCCGCCTGACCTTCTCCATCCGCAACCCCATCATGCTCACCTGGAAGAGGCATCTCATCCATGGTGACGTCGGCCAGAGCGTCCGGGTTGATGAACTGGAACATGGCGTCATCGCCCTCGCTCATCTCAGGCTCTGCATGCGAGCTCGGCTTGACAGATCCCTCCACATTCCCAGCGTCCGGCGGAAGTGTGACAGTGTTGTCAACGAGTGGTGCAGGCGGTAAGACAGGAGCTGGGTCGGGCGGAAGTGCAAGATCGTCTTCATGAGCAGGAAAAGCGACCTCTTGCATCGGATGGTCGTCCTTGGCAGTGCCAGAAGAGACTATGAGTGTGATTGTAAGCATGGAAGTAACCGATTATCATAAATGTGTGTGAACGTACTAGCGGGGGCTTTTGAGCTCTCTGTGCGCGGCTCAGACGGCTGACGCGATGATGTCGGTGAGCGTGGAAGTCCTGAGGGTCCGGGAGACGAAGTTGCTGAGCGTGGCAGCCCAGTGAGAGCTGGAGAGGACCTTGAAGAGCGAGTCATACCCGCCGGAGGTAAGGAAGGCACGCGGAGATGAGCAGAGCCCGGCGGAGATTGCATCCCCGCAGGAGATGGCATCCCCGCCGGGGATCGCATCCCCGCCGGAGATCCGGGTTCAACCTCAGCAGTCTCCACTGTCTGGACAGCCGCATCGACACGGTTCTGGCCTAGCATTGCCTGAAGGCTGCTAATCAGAACCTGAACCGAGCCCTGCATGCTGCGCTGCCCATCCAACATCTCGCGCTGCGACTGAATAAACTGCGATAGCAGTCCGTCTCCCACGGGCACGTCCAATGCTGGAGTAGGATCCGCGCGCGGCGGAAAACCACCAGGCTGAACGGTGCGGCTGCGATGGTCATGCGGACCTGGCGCATTGACGAATATGCGAGACGTGGACGCAGCGCGCGGTGGTGCATTGGCTTGGGATGAAGTTGCAGTGCGCGCACTCTTCACTGGACGGCCTTGCGTGGATGCTGAAGCTGGTGTCGCGCCAGATGAGTTGCGACGACGCTTGCGCGAGCCTAGACACGGATGAGCACAAAGGGAGCTAATTACAGTGTGAAGAACTCACTGTCATCAGCGTCAGGCAGAGACTCACTTCCCTCGCCCATGACCGCATCTACCGCCAGCTGGACGGCATTCTCTGGATCCGAAGGTGGGAGGACATTCTCATCGTCGTCAACATCAAGAGCAATGGCGTTCGGATTGTCAGGATCGATCGCAGCAAACTGCTCAGCCTGCGGAACCGTAGGCTGCTCCTTCGTACCCCAGACGTGATCTGTAGCATGTAAGACTAAATGTAGAGGCGGAGAAAAAGTGAGTCGACTTACACTTCTCATTAAACCACAGCCAGCGCTGCCCGTATGTTATGTACCCGGCCGCAAGAAGCATCTTGACGAAGTTGATCCGCACGTCGACCTTGGGGTGATACATCGACGGTCTCTTGCCCTCAGGAACGGCCGGAGGACTGCCATCCTTGCAGCGCAGGTGCGAAACGAAGCACTCCCAGCATGCTGTCGGTCTAGAGTGAGTACAAGGGGACAAATGAGAAGATATGGCGCATACTTTTGTGACCTCGCCAGATGCATGAGAAGCCTGACGAGCTGCAGTGCCTGCACTTATGCTTTAGGAGCTGTTAGCAAGATCAGAGAATATTGCATAGATGTACTTACAATAAAGCGCACTCTGTCACGCTTAGAATCAATCCCGTGCATCTCCGGGAAGCTCCAGACGTTCGAGGGATTGAGCAGGCCGTCTTCACCGCGAGCATACAGCTCTTCACGCAGAGTCTTGAAGTTCAACGTGTCGCTCTTGATGACAGACGGTACGCCAAAGGGGGTGGACTGGTTTGCGGGTACTTCTGCCTCAGTAATCTCGGCTGGAAGGCGGCTGCGAGAGCGGGGATTGGGCGCGGGTTGCTTGGGTGCGGATGTGCGCGGTGCGTCGTCAGAATCGTGGTAGGATGAGTCGCTGTCGGCGCGTTCATGCGCGTCGTCGGACTCGTCAGTCGTACGCCGCGTAGCCCTAGTCTTTGGACGGGCAATGAGAGCCTTGTTACCGTGCCCGGGCTTGACTTTGGCGCGCCTGGGCGGCGGAGGTGCAGGTCCGGCGGAGGTCGCAGGTCCGGCGGAGGTGGAACCTCCGCGGGGACGTTGAGATGGCGCAGCGCGGCCCTTGCCCTTCCTGTTGCGGCTGGCACGCGTATCAGATGGAGGCTCGTCCTCGTTGGGGCTTGTGGACGGCTCAGGGTTGTCGAGAGCCTCAAAATGAGCGACAATGTTGAGGCGCGTAGGATACTTGATGATGACGAGGCCTTCCTCCTTCGTCATGTACGCAACTGCTCAGGCAGTGAGCAGATGTGCACGCAAAATAATGAGCAGCACGCACCGTATCCAGCCCACCACTGATCCGGACCCAACCAAGCCCGATCCGGCGGAGCTACATGCTCCAAGTCCGCCGGAGGTCCGCCAGACAAGACCGACTTCCAAACATCCATCTGAACCGCCTTTGCCGTGTTTGTGATCATGTTGTTGATGGTGCTGCACCACTCAACGAAGCGTGTGTTGCTACGATTGGCCTTCCACGCCAGATCCTAGTCAGATGTCAGTCTGGATCCTTTGGCCACAGTGTAGACAAGGACTCACAATTTCCTCCCTAAGGAGCCTATACAGATACTTTGCCGCATCATCCGTTAAAGGATGCTTAGATACAACCGTCTCAAGATGCGCCAAAGCCTCACAGACACGCGAAAGTAGGATTTGCGGTAAGATACTCTTGTCAGGATGTTTGTCACACCAACTGTTCAACTCCCTAGCTAGGAGCTCAGGCGTAATATCCTGCACAGTAGTGCCCTTGCCAGCAACAGAGTGGTACTGAGGCTTCACAGAGAACATCACAGGAAGAGGATTTGGGAGCCAAATGTAACGCAGATGACGGTCAAGAGTCAAGTCAATAGCCCAAGGCGAAAATTGCTCCTTCTCGCGCGGGCATCCAGGTCCGGCCCGGGTTTGATGACAATCACATGCGCATCCCCGCCGGATATCGGAGGCCCGCCGGACCTTTGCCATGTCCGCCATCAAGTCCGAATCCGCCATCAATGCCATCATCCCCGCCGGGCATTATTCGATCCCATCATCCCCGCCGGATCTTAGCTTTTCTCATCTCCGTCGGACCTCTATCCTCTCTATCGTCAGTGTAAGGTGGGTGACAGTCTTGTTTCTCTTCCTACTTAGGGTCATGAAGAGCAATGGTTTATTCCAGTTCGTAATATTTGCTGCTGCTGTCTGTCGAGTCGTTTGTCGCTCCACACTTTATGGCAACATCAGTGTCTAAAGCTCCCCCATATGTGAGTAGACTACACAGTAAAGCTTGCACACATGTCTATCGAACAGACTGCAGCTTCTGGGTATCTGTCTGTCAAACGTGATCCACGTTTCTTACAGTGGTATACTATACTGAAGTGAGTCAGTATTTCATGCTACTCGGTGCTATCTAGTTCAGAATATTCCCCATCATGGCAATCTGTTGTCCCCCTCTAGTGATCACTGTGACACACATAGCAATCGATTATGGTCCAGACAGAGTTCCTACTGCCAAGATGGGTGGACTCTCACACGACTGTGTTCATATCATCTGTTCTGGTGAGTATCTCCTCCACAGTGTGTCATTCTAGAGTCCGAATGTGGAACATGTAACATTTATTTATTGCTACGTGAAGGATACAATGGGTATGGCTGCCTATTGAGGTAGAACATGCTGAGAACATTCAACTGATCCATGACATTCCCTGGGCTCGATAACATGATAGGTTCTGTCATGCACAACTTAGAATCCCATATATCGCAGGTATACCACTGTACGCAAGCCAATAACATCCATATTGACTACCGGACCCTACGTCGTTTCCCCGTCGGATATTGGTCTGGAGCCTCGGAGGTCCATGTCACCCCCCCGGACATGCTGGGGCCGTGCGGCCCGGGGATGCCCCGCCGGGGCCGCGCACTAGTTATGGCTAGTTCCCCGAGTTTCTCGACACTATTTCATAGCTTGTTCCGCGAGTTTCTCGGACCTGCGATGCTAAAGGGGGTCGTAAATCTCGTAGTTGCGTTCAGCTTCACTAAGCGACTTTGAGAAGTACGCGACTGGGTGCCATTTGCCATCAGCAGCCTTCTGCGAGAGCACTGCACCCGTCGCAAAGTCAGAGGCATCGGCCTCAACTCTAAACGGGGAGTCGTCGACTGGGATGACGAGCACGGGCTCGGATGTAACGCGAAGCTTGAGTTCCTCGAATGCGAGCTGTTGTTCAACGCCCCATTCCCAAGGGACGTCTCCGGTAAGGCGATGGAGCGGGCGAGCGATGTGGCTGAAGTCCTTGATGAAGCGTCGGTAGAAGTTGCAGAATCCTAAGAATGACTGCAGCTCCTTCTTGCGCGTTGGGACGGCCCACTTGGCGATGGCCTTGACCTTGGCAGGATCCATGCAAACGTATCCCTCCTCAACGATCATGCCGAGGTACTCGATCTTGGTCTGTTCAAACTTGCACTTCTCGGGCTTAAGATAAAGCTTGTTCTCCCGTAGTATGCGTAAGACCTCGCGTGT